CTGCTATTGCTATAGTTGCGAACGCACATTTCAAGACCATATCACGTAATTCTCCTATCAGTTTCCCCGCGACAGGATCTTGAGCATTTTAAGATGAGCATGGGTTAGCCATGTTTAATACAAATAGGAACCCCATTTATCTACGGTCGGAGAAATCAATATCTCTGAAGAACATAACACGGAACTGGAGTCTATGTGACCACAACGGACTATCTGCGGTGATCGGGGATGTTGTTGCGTCCATGATGGTTCCTGTGGCTGATCCGGGGCTAACTGCGCGGTCAGAAGGCCTCCTGTGTCAGGGATGGGAGGGATGTGATATGATACATCCTTCTAATGACCTCCGGATGGACTAGGAGATCCCGCCCGATATGGGTGGGATCAGTGACAGCCAGAAGACACTTCGCGATGGGACGGAATGGCCCCTCAGTCCTTGACCGTAAACGGTAAGGTACCCCCGGTATTCTACTCAAGAGGCCCCTTTCCCGGAAGGAAATAGGGGGTCTCATTATTGTTGAGCAAATGGGTGTCTCATTATTGTTGAATGGAGTGGGTCAAATGAGCTTAAAAACCAGCAAGGTCACCATGTTTGCCTGAGACGTTCATTTTTTTCAGAATGGATTAGTGAAACAACTTACATCAAAAGGCTTGAACATTCCCGCCCGCAACCTCGAGAGCAAGAGCAAGGATGGTCTGGGTTGCAACTTCCGTAAAACTGAAAAAGTTTCGGCCACAGCAAGTGCCAACAGACGGCGGGCGCCGTGTTAATCTGCTTGGGAGTAGACAAAAACCTGCAAAAACACGAAAATAGATATTTTACCTTCACTCTCCAGTTCAACCACTAGATTCCAGCCCCACTTCGCGGTGCTTTAAGAGCCAATCCGTTCTTTCTATCAGCCTAAAAATTGCACACGTGACATTTGCGCTCAGACTGCCTTCTAAATGTAAGATCTGATGTCATGAAGCGTTAAGGATACTTTTTCAGAAGCGTCGTCATTTTCGTCTATCCGTTGGCCACAACTTAATATTAGCTGCTAGGCCGACGCTACGCGGCCTACGGAGACTGCAACGCCTGGTGCCGAGGTTTTTGTCGCCAATATTTGCGAGTGCGCATGTTAAAAACACGTTACATAAATTGTATCACTAATCGATTCTGACTAAATGGTGGACGTTTCAGACAAGCATGGCTTGGCCATGTTAATACGCATTGTTGACCACTCGGTCTGCAATCAAATTTCCATGTTCAAATTGGGATCAAACAAATCGATCTACAATCTACCTTTGCGATGTCCTCAATTTATGTAGAACTCAGATAAAATTTTGACGAAGCATCTGAATTCTATCGAATTAGAAAGAGTCAACTAACCATTGTAAACGAAGTGCACCAGTGATTTCTTCCATGCAGTTCTTCCATGAGTCGTTCAACGCCTGATTTCCGCAGTTTATTGACCTCAAAATACAAACAGAATCGAGCTCACGGTAGCTACTGGTTTTTGTTCTGGCTACAAGGTAAAAATAACAATGAATGACGACAACCGTGTCACTTGTTAACAAGCAAGCTATCCGATTTGGGGGGGATCACCATAAGATGGGCTTTTGTCAACCTTGCGTTCCCCTTGGCAAGGCTCTGGCTACGCCCCTGCCTACACACAAAAGCTAATCAAGTGGTATACGTTGCAAGATGAACAACGAAGTGGCCGTCGGGCGAATTCATTCCTAAGGCAGACAGCTTCCCGGAGACTATTTTTCTGCGATAGCCTGGTATGAGGGAAGATAATTCGGAAAAAGATACTGCTGCAGGTGTCCAGCACATGTTTCATACAACACGTAGTGGTAACAATGATCCAAAAGCATACAACAATACAGCCATACGATCAGTTCGCAGTCAGTCATGCGGGACATCCGGGCCAGGGCAGCGCCACCGACGGCACAGGAGCAGGGCCCAGGTAGGAACATATGACAGATGGACCTTATTGTGACTTGATTATTAAAAGAGAATCTCCAGCTTATGGTTTTTGTCACATTGCATCTAGCAGTTTCAAGCTCCCAACTTTGTTTCCGCCTAAAATGCTGCGACAAGTCTGATCTCTTGAGAAGCAGCCAGCGAAATGAGGTGCATGAAAAAATCTGTCGCACTGTTAGCCATCGATGCATTTTCAAAATTCTCGCATAGCTTCCTCAATGACCAAAATGCCTACCCACTCGTGGAATTTTGCCTCTCCAGGAAAGACCATGTTAAAATCGACGAATAATCTAGGGGAGCTGGATAGCCCTATTTGGCAAATGACAGATGAGTCGATAGGCAATGTTGTGCACAGGTGAGAAACAACTGTAGATGCATATCTAGCACAGCAGCCATGACATTTGAATAAAGAGAGATAACAACCTCCATCCCTACCCCTCCCGGGTCATCGGGCCTCGCTTTCCAGAAAAAGTTCCTGAAGCACGCCTGAACTTGCCCCCCCCCCAACTTTTTGAAACGTCCTTACGCCTATGGGAAAGGCCATCACCAGAGGCGACAGAAAAGATGGATAGTGCAAGAGGGCAGCCTGTGCTCTCTGGAAATATCGGCATGCCTGTACGCACGGAGGCGTCAATGTGCCACTGTCATCAGTGTCGGGGAATCAGTGCGGGCATGTTCGGAGGCTCAGCGGGCGGTCTGCGCTTTTAGTTGGAATGTGTACACACCTAATATTTGGTAAGAATAACAACGCACACAGATTATACAACGCTTGACGGATTTGATTATTTGTAGAGCTTCATAGCATTGTATCGGGAAGTGTGATTGAAGGTGTGTGAGCAAATGCGTATACCTGCCACTCATGTAATAATTTTGACGAATATCAGCCGCTGAAGTTGAAGAGGGTTCAAACCTCATCTGAACAAGCGAATTCATTAAAAGAATCGGTTCTGGCTTAACAGTCTCAACAATCTTGAGAGGCCACCTTGACCTTGCATGAGGTCCCTACAACCGCATCAATCTGGAGCAACACTGAAATCGCGAGCAACCGAGAAACCAAACTGGTGAAAAAATATGTCACAATTTTGACAACATGACCTCTTGACTTCGAGTGGCCGTTGGTCACAAGACCTACCCTCACGCAGCCATCACGATCTACCACCCCACGACCGCAGGTCATGACAACCGCTGTTGCCCGTGTGCCAGGCACCGCCTGGGCTCACCTCTCGTGCTCAGTGCAGGGAAAGGTATTTGCCAATTAACGGCGAACCGAGTTGAAGGCATTTTTAGGTAATAATCACTGAACGTTTATGCAACTTTCACTGTGTGAACGCACAACGCTAAGTTCAATAGGACATTCTAGACAGAGTGTTTATTAACACCCGTGTTCTTACTAACGTAGAAACACGACAGACACGGATCACTAACCTCGTCTCCAGGATCGGGTCACAGTACCGGTCCACGCAGCTCACTCATCAGTCGAAATGAATCGACGGTCAAGACTACATTCACGTGTTAAACAAGCATGGTAGCTATGTGACGTTCTTCAGCCCTATGCGAGCTAAATATATTTCCTGGGCGTGGTGTACAACTTACGCAATCAATCGATCCTCATCTAGTAGAAAAACAGGTAATTAACGAAATTCACTGCGGGTAACAAATCAACCAGATGCTAGGGTAACAAGTGACCACGAACATTGCACGCATGGCCTCTGTCGAGGAGCAGGTGACAACCTGTTACTCGGCATACCCACACTTGTTAGTTGAGGGCATACAAAGCAATTCACTTTAAGCCTAGTAAGTGATATCTGCCCACGAGCGTCTGAACCAGCCTCGTGCGGCTTCCCCTTAAACCAACACGTAGTGGCTTACAGCGGTACACACTATACAGAAACGATGTTTCTTCCCAGCAAGGAAACAAAAGGAAATGCAACTGTGCAAAGGTGGCCAACAGCGGGCGAGTAAGGATGTTCAGTGAACATTTACAGACAGGACAAAGCACAAACCACTTACTCACAACGACCTGAGATAAACCTATCTCCTTTGGCTGGAAGTAATGCCACTCACCAATTTCGTGACCAAACAGGTGCCATATCACACGTGTCGTTTGTCAAGTTATCATGTCATTGTACTTCTCTTCATTGTCTTCCGACAAGGGAAGAACCCCAAATCGACTATACCTTGCCAGAAACGTCACCACTTACACATCATAAGACGCAAACCGTATGTCTCTCAAAAGGAGCAACAGCTTACACAAGTTTTGAACATACAAATCCGTCGGGATTGCTCGCACGTGGGGCGCAGTGCCGTCATTTGTCAGCGTCCTTGCTCGTCGACTACGAGCGAGTATATTACAGGCAATACGAGTTGCTAGAGTAGTCCAGAAGCACAATACCGTCCCATACACTGGTCGGTCGCGCCGTCTGATGACATACTGCGGTACTGCATGTGCTCTCTAGCAGTAGCCATCGAACACCGGAGGACGTGAGCGCATCCGCGAAAACGCAACGCCCACCATCTTGTCTGTATGTAGCCCATTCAGCAGACGCTCCGGCCTGAGGGAAATGGGCTTGCACCGCAGGGAGATTGGGGAGAAACAATACTGTCTCCAATCCTGACCCGTGCCCTCTTCTTCTTGGCCGGCATCTTATGGCGTCGTCGAATACCCACACTGGTCGCTGCTAGCAGACGAGTCAGCTTGTGTTTCCAAGGGACGCCCACCTCGTCCCAACGCGGCGCAGTGCGCCGTGATCGCCGCGGTCGGCCGCTGATAACATTGCCGACGTGTCAGCGTCCTCAGAGATTGTTGACGCTGATGATCTGGTTGATCCAGCCGATGAAGGAGGACACCTTGACGTAAACGCCGGGTACGTCCTGACGGCCGCACCCGAAGCCCTGCCGGCGTCCAGCGCACGGTCATGTGACGTCCTAGTAACAACCGCGCTGCCATGGCATATGACGTCCTAGTGACAACCGCACTGCCATGGCATGTGACGTCCTGGTAACAACCGCGCTGCCATGGAATGTGACGTCCTAGTAACAACCGCGCTGCCATATCATGTGACGTCCTGATAACAACCGCGATGCCACGGCATGTGACGTCCTAGTAACAACCGCGCTGCCATGGCATGTGACGTCCTAGTAACAACCGCACCGCCATCGCATGTGACGTCCTGATAACGACCGCGGTGCCATGGCATGCGACGTCCTAGTAACAACCGCGCTGCCATGGCATGTAACGTCCTAGTAACAACCGTGCTGCCATAGCATGTGACGTCCTAGTAACAACCGCGCTGCCATAGCATGTGACGTCCTAGTAACAACCGCGCTGCCATGGCATGTGACGTCCTAGTAACAACCGTGCTGCCATAGCATGTGACGTCCTAGTAACAACCGCGCTGCCATGGCATGTGACGTCCTAGTAACAACCGCGGTGCCATGGCATGCGACGTCCTAATAACAACCGCGATGCCATGGCATGTGACATCCTAGTAACAACCGCGCTGCCATCGCATGTGACGTCCTGATAACGACCGCGATGCCATGGCATGCGACGTCCTAGTAACAACCGTGCTGCCATGGCATGTGACGTCCTAGTAACAACCGTGCTGCCATAGCATGTGACCTCCTAATAACAACCGCGCTGCCATAGCATGTGACGTCCTAGTAACAACCGCGCTGCCATAGCATGTGACGTCCTGATAACAACCGCGCTGCCATAGCATGTGACGTCCTAGTAACAACCGCGCTGCCATAGCATGTGACGTCCTAGTAACAAACCGCGCTGCCATAGCATGTGACGTCCTGATAACAACCGCGCTGCCATAGCATGTGACGTCCCTAGTAACAACCGCGCTGCCATAGCATGTGACGTCCTGATAACAACCGCGCTGACCATAGCATGTGACGTCCTAGTAACAACCGCGCTGCCATAGCATGTGACGTCCTGATAACAACCGCGCTGCCATAGCATGTGACGTCCTAGTAACAACCGCGCTGCCATAGCATGTGACGTCCTGATAACAACCGCGCTGCCATAGCATGTGACGTCCTGATAACAGCCGCGCTGCCATGGCATGCGACGTCCTAGTAACGACCGCGCTGCCATGGCATGTGACGTCCTAGTAACAACCGCGCTGCCATCGCATGTGACGTCCTGATAACGACCGCGATGCCATGGCATGCGACGTCCTAGTAACAACCGCGCTGCCATGGCATGTGACGTCCTAGTAACAACCGCGCTGCCATGGCATGTGACGTCCTAGCAACAACCGCGCTGCCATAGCATATGACGTCCTAGTAACAACCGCGCTGCCATGGCATGTGACGTCCTAGTAATAACCGCGCTGCCATGGCATGTGTCGCCCTAGTAACAACCGCGCTGCCATGGCATGTGACGTCCTAGTAATAACCGCGCTGCCATGGCATGTGTCGCCCTAGTAACGACCGCGGTGCCATGGCATGTGTCGCCCTAGTGACGACCGCGGTGCCATGGCGTGGGTGGTCCCGCCACGCCTGCAGATTTCACTGACGTCTCGTGCTAGCGTCACATGTAACTTTGACCACTGGCTGTGCCAGCTTTAACCTCCGTAACCGCGGGTGTGGGCACATGAGCGAATTAACTCTTTTGCATGATCGTAGATATAATAAACCAGGAATGCTGGGTGTGAGACCAACTCAACCGCTTTGGTAGAATTCTACGAAATGGCTACAAAAACACAGTGATGCAGGTGCGTCACCCGACATCCATACAGTAAGTAGACTGCCCATGGGCCCCAAGGGCCATTAGACATTACACATTCTTGACGTTACGCGTTCTAGACGTTGAGTCCTTACCCAGCTGACCATGCCGGACAGCTCATAGTAAGCCGTCCACGTTGCACACAAGAGGACCTCCTCCGTCGCCCTGGAACGGCGTCAACTGACCGTTAGCTATGTGACATGCATGCTAGTGATTTCAAACGAAGTCCACGCGGCTGGCGCACCATATTGCATTGGCGAAATGGCTGCCGTTTGCCAGTATCGAATGTGTCGACTAACACTACATGCAGTTATCGAACAAGTCGATTTGACAAACTGTCATTACGTCATCCTCCAGCTTGACTACAGCTCACTACGGGCAGCTGGTGTACACAGGCTGAGAAGGCACACGCCTGTCAGCGGCCCGGACGGGCGCGGCAACATCACCTTCCCGCTGACACTGACCTGGCAGGCATCGTTGCCCTCCTCACCACCAGCGCAGAAACTGGAGGCTGGCAGGATGAAGATCTTCTCTGTGACGGCGTTTGATCTTGCGCACACACTCATTGTCAGAGACGATGGGCAGCTCTGCGGCCCGCACCCTCAGCGGAATCGGCCCAGCTGGGGAAAGTTAGGTCGACCGTCAGGAGGCGCCAACAAAGGCAGAAACGACTGGCCGTCACCACCATCAACCCGCTTGAATGCTAGCCACAACGCAATCAATGCTTTGTTTAAACGCTGGATGAGCATGCCACAAATTGCAAACCTCAAAGAGTCATGTTTTCCCGCGATGCAGCTGCAACTGCTCATACGCTAGACTCCACGCTGATGCCTCAGTATACCGATAGATGGCAATGCAGTCTGCTGCCAACGGCTCGCCGTTGTCACAGAAGGCGGCCCTCACTTTCGCCTTGGTAGCCGTAGCCGGAGACGGTGCAGCGGTTGCCGGCCTGCTGCTCCACGCCACGCGCCGGTAAGCACACCAGGCAGACGCCCTCCTTCAGCTCCACCTGAGACGGCGGCGCGGCCGGGGTCACGCCAAGGTCAGGACGCCGGCGTGGGGTGGACGCTTGACGGGCTCAGCGCTAGCAATGCAGGACAGACTGGGCTCGTGTCGGAAATCGAAGGCTCGATCAGAATCCAGATGCTCACACGCACCAGTATCAAAAGGAAAAGGAGAGCTGACTGGTGCGCTGAAGGTGGAGCTGAAGTCAGAGCCCAGAGGCTCACACGTGCCAGTATCAAAAGGAAGAGGAGAAGGAGAGCTAGCTGGTGCGTTGAAGGTGGAGCTGAAGTCAGAGTCCAGAGGCTCACACGCGCCAGTATCAAAAGAAAGAGGAGAGGTGACTGGTGCGCTGAGGGTGGAGCTGAAGTCAGGTCCAGAGGCTCACACGCACCAGTATCAAAAGGAAGAGGAGAGGTGACTGGTGCGTTGAAGGTGGAGCTGAAGTCAGAGTCCAGAGGCCCACACGCACCAGTATCAAAAGGAGGAGGAGAGGTGACTGGTGCGCTGAGGGTGGAGCTGAAGTCAGAGCCCAGAGGCTCACACGCGCCAGTATCAAAAGGAAAAGGAGAGGTGACTGCACACAATAAGCGTGGCGAATGCGCCTGGCATAGCGCGGAGCTTCAAACATGCTATAATGTTACAACAGATTCGCTCACAGAGGGCAGTAAGCGACTCTCCTCAGACATTGCACGAATAGCTCAAGCTGACATATGCTGGCAGCCGACTCGATGAGGAGAGTTGAGATAAGCGACAGTGACTCGCTCCCTGCTCCACTCACCAGTGAGACCATCGGCCGTGCTCACCTGTCCGTGCAGCTTGAGCAGAGCGATGTCGTTGTCCAGCGTCTGCGAGTTGTGGTTGTGATGGATGTAGGTGGTGGACACGCGCAGCGTCTGCGCGCCCAGCGAGCCGTACTTGGAGGTCAGGTCGTGGTCCCCCACGCGCACGTAGATGGCGTCACCGGATCGAACGATGCTGAGGCGGGGATGACCACGCGGCCGGTCAGAGATGGCCCAGTGGCCTCGAGGTCGTGGGTTCAAAACTCACCGTCGGTCGCGCTACGACATTTCCACCGCGATCAACTTGGGCATATGCGACGGTTTTGACCAGATACAATAACGAATGCAAACACCGAAGCCAACAGTGGTGCCGATGCAAACTGAAGAAGTGTCATGAACCACACGACTTCCTGTGATGCGCTGCTTGCAGTGGGCGAGCCTTGGAAAAGTAACGCAATCGCATAACACCAGTCGATCAAACGGCATCAGCAGCAGGGGTCAGCCTCCGCACCATCTCAGCGGCCACCTGACGGTCAGCCTGACTTACTTAGTGACGCAGTGGGCGGCAGTGAGCACCCACTGGGTGCCAATGAGCGCGCCGCCGCACAGGTACTGGTTCAGCGAGTTGATGAGCGCCACGTGCCAGCACCACTCGCCCGGCGCCGCGTCCTGTCCGCCCACGACGCGGCCGCGCCGACCCGGCGGCCCCTTCACGCCGCACACGTACTTGTTCTTGTGCACGGGCAGCGGCGGCTCGGGCGCCGGCGTCGTCTGATAGATCTGGATGTGCCCGCCCGGGCCGTCTGCGGAGAGGAGGGGGGGGGGGGGGGAACGTCAGGGGAAGCGGGACGCAAACTCAACAGGGGCAGGCCCCCTGCCCAGTTGAGTTAAGGACTGGACGCGCGATGGCGGACGAACGTGAAATTGGTTGCGAAATTGTGAGCAGCTGCTCCCGCTTGAAAGCACCTTGCCGAAATACAATTGACATACGGAGGCTTGGCCACGTGTCCGCCTTTGAGCCCTGGGTTAGCACGGAACACAATGCGACATAGTCAGCTCATTGCAGCAGCCGTAATCCCAATATGAGCACAATCCGTGTGTTATGTGTGGTGCGACACGCGGCCCGACAGTGCGTGTCTCCTCCCAGTTTGGATAGCTGACAGTGCGTGTCTCCTCCCGTTTTGGATAGCCAACAGTGCATGTCTTCTTCCGTATAGCTGACAGTGTGTGTCTCCTCCCGTTTTGGATAGCCAACAGTGCATGTCTTCTTCCGTATAGCTGACAGTGTGTGTCTCCTCCCGGTTTGGATAGCTGATCCATGCGAGACGGTACGCGACCCAACAGTGCGTGCCTCCTCCCGTTTTAGATAGCTGACAGTGCATGTCTCCTCCTGTTTTGGATGGCTGACAGTGAATGTCTCCTCCCAGTTTGGATAGCTGACAGTGCGTGTCTCCTCCCGGTTTGGAAAGCTGTCAGTGCGTGTCTCCTCCCGTTTTGGATAGCTGACAGTGAGTGTCTCCTCACGGTGTGAATAGCTGACAATGCGTGTCTCCTCCCAGTTTGGGTAGCTGACAGTGCGTGTCTCCTCCAGTTAGGATAGATAACAGTGCGTGTCTCCTCCCAGTTTGGATAGCTGACAGTGCGTGTCTCCTCCAGTTAGGATAGATAACAGTGCGTGTCTCCTCCCAGTTTGGATAGCTGACAGTGCGTGTCTCCTCCAGTTAGGATAGATAACAGTGCGTGTCTCCTCCAGTTAGGATAGATAACAGTGCGTGTCCCCTCCCAGTTTGGATAGCTGACAGTGCGTGTCTCCTCCCGTTTGGGATAGGTGATAGTGAATGTCTCCTCCCGGTTTTGATAGCTGACACCTGATACTGTCTCCTGACAGTGCGTCTCCTCCCGTTTTGGATAGCTGACAGTGCGTGTCTCCCCCCGGCTTAGATAGCTGACAGTGCGTGTCTCTCCCCGGTTTGGATAGCTGACAGTGCGCGCCTCTTCCCAGTTTGGATAGCTGACCTATGCGGGACGGCAGGCCGGGCTGTTGGTTGCCGACGAACTCCGGCGGCTGCTGCTGCTCATATTCGCCGGCTGGCGGTGGTGGCCGTTCCTGCCCGTATTCTTGGTACTCCGGCTGGTATTCCGACTGGTACTCAGGCTGGTACTCGGGCTGGTACTCAGGCTGGTACTCGGGCTGGTACTCGCCGTGCGGCGGTACGAAGGACGGGCGGCCGCCGTACTGCTCGTTGTCGGGGTACGTCGGGTACTCGTTGTTGTACTCGTTGGCGGCGTTGTAGTACTGCTGATCGCGTAGTCTGCGGATGGCTGACTTCTTGGCACAGCACTGCTCCTTCTTGGAGCCGCAGCGGAACAGGTCCGTCATCTCGGCGCTTCCTGCGGTGAGCAGAACAGACAATGCTCACCTACGTCCACCCAGTGTCATCTCCAAGCACGCGATGTATCTTTTGCATGGAATAGAGCATGCAAGACATGATATGACAACACAAAGGATCTCCCGAGATTTGGTCTAAAATGGTCTATGAATGGCTTAACGGTTGTGAAATTAACAGGGCTGTGCAACTTTAGGGACAACTTGGCAGTTCAGCAACATTTTATAGAAAAAAGAAGTAATGAGTCGATCTTTAAGCAGTCGAAGTAGAGCTACTGTGCATCACGTAAAACGCGACGGGCAGCATGCTACACATAATTCCAGACACAGGCCAACCCGCAGTAATCGAGTCACCCTCCCGCAGGTCTTACCGAAGCAGGTGAACGAGAGGAACGGTCCGATGCAGGTGTCCGGACACAATGGCCGCGGGTCGACCGGCACAGGCGGCGGCGGCGGCGGCCTTCCTCGGGGCGGCGGCGGCCGGCGGTTCGCGTCGACCCGCTCTGGCGCCGGCACAGCCGGGAACCGTTGCGGCGCCGCCGGCCGGTTGGCGCCGGCGCCGAGCAGCGCCGGCAGCACGGCCTGCACCAGTCCGCTGGCGCCGCCGCCGCCACCGCCACCGCCAGCGCCGCCGCCCAGCAGTGAGGCGGCCAGCGGCGCCAGCGAGCCGAGCAGGCCGCCACCGCCGCCGCCGCCGCCGCCGGCCGCCGCGCCCAGCGCCTGGTTGAGGATGGCGCCGATGGGCGAGGGCGCCCGGCGGCCGCGGCGGGCCGCGCCGGGCTGGCAGCACCCGCCTCCTGTTTGTCGGCTCCCTCTCGATTGTCGCAGCAGACCTGGCCGCTGGTGCAGCCGCGGTTGTTGGGCAGCAGGCGCGACGGCGCGTTGCAGTATGCCTTCATGAGGCCCGGCATGCAGACGCCTGGGCACTTCTCGGTCGGCGCGCCGGCCGGCTTGGCCGTGGTGGCCTGAGTCTTGTCGGGCCGTGAGCGCGACAGGCAGCAGCGGCCTCCGTTGCCGCACTTGACGCTACTGTCCACGCGGTCACATAGGTAGGAGAACAGCCCCGTCACACACTGGCCGGCGCACTTTCTTCTGCTCGGGGGATTTCGATACCAGCGCTTGATGCTGAAACGGGGCACGACAGAACAAAGATCAGCGATCAGGGAGGCCATTGTTGATACCTAACGTTAAGGCAAGATCACTGTTTGAACGTGGCGGCATTATCACTAACATCCATTTCTGGCTGTATATTGTCCAATTGATGCAGGGGCTGCGAAACGACAGCCATGTTCTCAGCATTCCGGGTATACCTGGCTTCTTCTCCTCCTCCGGCTCCTCGGGCTTAGGTTTGGGCGTCTTGCCCAGAATGACGAACTGTTCGGGCTTGTCCTCAACGCCGTCGAACAGGTCCTTGCGACGCAGCAGCGCTGGTCGGCGGCGCAGACCCCGGGCAGGTCCAGCGCTGCCTCACAGTAAGCCGCCAGCCGCTTGGCCACGCACACGCCCGGACAGATGGCTGCGAGGGAGGGGCGACCGGTGGCCGTCAGCGGCAGTGCGTGATGATCAGTGACGGCCAGTGGTGGTCAGCAAAGGTTTGTGACGATCAGTGACGGCCAGTGGTGATCAGCAAAGGTTTGTGATGATCAGTGACGGCCAGTGGTGATCAGCGACGGTGCGCGATGGTCAATGGCGGCCAGTGGTGATCAGCGAGGGCTCGTGATCAGTGACGGCCAGTGGTGATCAGCGAGGGTGCGTGATAGTCAGTGACAGCCAGTGGTGATCAGCGAATCTGCGTGATGGTCAGTGACGGCCAGTGGTGATTAGCGGGGGCTCGTGATGATCAGTGACGGCCAGTGGTGACTAGCGGGGGCTCGTGATGATCAGTGACGACCAGTGGTGATCAGCAAAAGTTCGTGATGATCAGCGACGGCCAGTGGTGATCAGCGAGAGTGGGGAGTATCTCTGCTGATAATTGACGGCGGGCACACCTATGATGTAACGAATAAAGCCGAATGTCTCTGCGGCTTGTCTCATAATCGTAGCGAAGTTCTCATCATGCAGGTCCCGCACATCTATGGCACAACTTAAATAGCATAATCCCAGCCTGTCCTGGGCACGCCATTCAATCTCTCGCTGCGAACGATATGAATGTTGGACCGAATGCCGCGAACACTCACTGGTCCCCTGCTGCGCTCCGTACGGCTGCGGTCGCGGCAGACCGTCCACCAGCTCCGTCTCGTCCGTGTCCATCTTCTCAATCAACGTCGGCGAAGTCGCCGTCGTGGTCTCGGGCGAGGGGGCCCGGGTTGTGGGCGTGGTTGTCGGCGCCGGCGTGGTGGTTGTGGCTGGTGTCGTAGGCACCTGGGGAAGGACCGGCCGCTGCTGATGGGTGTTTTTTGGAACGGATGGAAAGATGTTTTCTGATTCAAGGTGTTTTGATCTACGCCAAGTGACATGCATGCGGTAACGAGACACCTCGCGTTAGCAAAACACATTGTCTGGCCGGGACGTGTGCCGTAGACCATACAGGTCGTTAATCGTTTTATATGTGTGCACATCACTGGCTACATGCCTTTTCCGAGCTTTCTAGTTCTTTAAAGAGGATACGCTTAGTTGTAGCTACAAGTACACTAATTACGAATGGCGTGCTGGCTTACCAAGTGGCAGTTTACATTTTTTTCACTTTTGTACTGACATGACACCGGCCGAACCGCTCAGTAGTCAAACGCTCTGTCTCCCCAAGCCGCAGCTGAGGGTGCTCAGAGACACCATCATGACAGCGCACCTCTCGCTTGGTGGTGGCGCTCTTGGTGGCGGTGAGGGCGGCTGGCGTAGGTGGCGCCACGGTCGCGGGCGCCGGCGCCTGCTGTCCGCCGGCCAGTACACAGCAGCGCATGGACGGCTGTGGGCACGGCTTGTCGTCCAGCACCTTCTCACACATGAGCGCGGCCAGCGCGTGGTAGCAGCGGCCCGGGCACTGGCTGCCCTCCTCGGGCCGCGCCAGCGAGCTGAACAGGTCTGAGGACGGACAGTGCCAGCGTGACACGGCAGGTCACGATGTTGAGCCCTGTCACCGGCGTCACGCTGGCGAAATCGAAAGGCACAGAGCAGCACGTACAGACACAGGAATGCATGGTCTGAAGAGGTTTCGACGTGGAGAAGGTGAGATCGAGTAGTTTTCTATGAGCCTCGTGATAGTCGTGCCTTGCAGTTTTCGCTCAGAGAGGCAGAAGTGAACTAAGGTCTGAAGCTGCGAGTCGTCAAACTAAAAGTGCCGTGGACCAAGGCAACCTGAATGAATTGGGGAGAGCCTGAAAACGACACTATATGTTTTTACGCCGGTAGAACTTTCATAAGGAAAAACACAAACACTGTCTTCGGGTATGTTACGATACGCTACATTGCGCTTGGTTCTCCTATATAAGGCTCATCTAGAACCTAATACACAAAGAAGCCAACATAGAAACAACCACACTATAGTACATTAGAGATAGCACCACTTGTCTCATTTAATGCACTGGAAGATGGCGCGCTTCTGAGAGCATGACTCGCCTCGCATACCTGAACACGTTCTGTTTTTTTTTCAGCGTATGCACGCTATGTGGGTATTTAAAGCATCTGTGTGCTATATCGCCGCACGCGCAGTCGGCCTTAGCGAGTCACCCTGCGAGTCTTGGTCCGCTTGTCGGTAAAATATGCTATATCGCCGCACGCGCAGTCGGCCTTAGTAAGTCACCCTGCGAGTCTTGGCCCGCTTGTCGGTATAATCGCTCAAATTCATGGTTTAATAGTATCGTCAGAGGTCATTCCCCCATGCATACGAGGAAACTCCGACGAGGAAAATTGCTGAATCGAGCCAAGTGCTATCAATTGGAAGGCTTAATCTTATGTTCTCTGTCAAGTGGTCAAATATTATATCGTTCCAGAATATCTGATACACCAGACACGTCCAAAGGATTCAAGTTCAGGAATGCCTTGCGGCAATTGAAAGCGTCTAATTGCACATATCGCGGTCTGCATTGGAAAGTGCTTTCTGTTCCTAAATTCATGCTTCACAAAAGAAAACAGCGCCTGCCTTAGACCTCCCAACCAGCGAATTTTCACAGACGCGCTTTACATCACTCCCGTCAACCGTGACGTCACGCCCGTGACAAGGCACGTCAGTCACAGACAGCAGTCACGACAGCGTCTTGTCAGCACTGGCGTGATCTGTCAGCATTGGGCTACATCACCGTGCGTCGTAAAACTGGGCTCCATTAACAGGCGAGAGCTGCAGTTCAAGGGTCGATGATATCTTTGTTAGCGAGGGGAGCATTAAAGCATCCGCGACTGCGGAGCACAAACAAGCAAAGCAGCTGCAAGTTACAGCAGAAGGGCATGCATTAGTTCGTCACAGTGCACAGAGAGACCGGGGTGGTTGTCCGCATTGTGCTTTGTTTGCATGTCCTGAATACCAAGAATCTCGTGCTGTGAACGGCCAGGGGGTGTACGACCGATGCTTCTGGTCCACAGAGGCAGTCCGGATTACTCCCCAGTATTTTGCACACTGCATAATTAAATTTCACAGCTTGTCTCACCATGAATGCTTGCATCGACATGGCTTTGTGTCCAACCGGTTTCGGAAGCCAAAACACCGCTTTTAGTACATCATATGTAGCTGGTGACCTTAAGGTAACTCCGGGATGTGTGGTTTCAGGGTAAGTCAACTACCTTGCCTATTTACGGGAACTTCGGGATGATTCTGAGCATTGTGGGCAGGCTTGGAAAAACCGAGCCACAACAAGCAATCGGCATGTTTACATAAGCCTAACCATCCTGATGTCGGGTTGGGTTGTTCAGGAAGTGGTTCATTTGATGCTCTCACCGAGCCACAACAAGCAATCGGCATGTTTACATAAGCCTAACCAGCCTGATGTAGGGTTGGGTTGTTCAGGAAGTGGTTCATTTGATGCTCTCTACCGAGCCACAACAAGCAATCGGCATGTTAACATAAGCCTAACCAGCCTGATGTTGGGTTGGATTGTTCAGGAAGTGGTTCATTTGATGCTCTCTGGTATTAGATCACACTAAAGCAAGGACGAGCTGGTCGATTTCAACCTGCCAGAGGCATATATTATAATTTTGTTATTATGAGACGTTAAGCACGGCGTCTGTTTTTATACCTTTTGCCAAACAACATTGCTCGAACTCTGCGCTCTGGTTAACTCTGGCAAACTCTGGTTAATGCGTCTACGTTAACCACTGCGCGTGTGGGAACCAGAGTTACGAGGTTCGGTTCACCGCTGGTGCCCGCCCTTCCTGCCAGGGGTGGAAGGCGATGCGACGCCATAAAGCCTCAGCAGCTGAGTGCGTCGTAAAGCCCCCATGACATAAGCTCCGTGCGTAAGCTCTCCATTTCCATCAGGTTGGAGGTGGTTCACGCCTCACATGATGTGCAAGGCGACCATTCCAAAATAATTAGAATGCGAACTGATGCTGTAATTCTCCGACGAGCAAAAATTTCACTTCCGTTGTGACCGTACGACGACGTCGACCACAGGGTGGTACGCAGCGGCTTCCGCGACTTGGGCGTCTGCTGACCCAGATCGCTTGACCGGGAGAACCGGAACCGGCGTGACTCACGGCGGGTCCGGCCGGCGCCGGCTCCGCCGCCGCCAACGTGTGCCAACCGTCACCGCTGGCGGAACTAAGCGGACCGTACGACACCGACCCGCGCCCGTGTTGTAACGACCCCAGCCGCCGGCACGACCGCTCTGCATTGATGGCAAACAGAGCAGCACCGCGCCGCCGCGTCGGTCGCGGTGCTGTCGCAACAACGAAAGTCGCCGACGCCTGTGCGCCGACACCGGACGCCGGTCACTGACGCGGCGAAAGGCACGCGCCTCGAAGCCTGACGGTGCGCTGGGCCGGAAGGGCCCGAGCGGCACCCTCCGGTTCCCGCGGAAGGGCCCGAGCGGCACCCTCCGGTCCCGCGCGCCGATTGTGGCGACTCAGCGCAAGTCACCACCCTTTCATCTCCCGGGACAGCCTGATGCAAAAATGCCGTACTGCTATACACTGCGTGTCGCATCGCTTCTATGAAATTTGCTTGCACATTTTTCGTTTTTTTTATTAAAAAGCTTCAACGTTTTTCACATACATGAAAACAAGGACCCAGGGGCTGGGCGACGCCATCTAAAATGACAATGTTTGTGAGGAACATTTGGCTTAGCATTGTTTGTCCATATCTGAGATGCCCTTATTTCCGCAAACTCATCTATTGTAAACTCACCGTTTGTAAACATTTCAAAACTTAAACTCGGTTGGTCAGACTGACCATCTCTACAAGCTGTAAATTAAATCTTGCCAGGATTTTTGACTACCCGCACTCTGTTTTGACCACTGGTGCTTTGGAGTGTGCATTTGAAGGGAGTGGAATGATGTGGGTGCTTTGGAAATTCTGGAGTGCAATGAGAGTGTCAGGGCCTGTTTTGGAAATGGAAAGAGAACGCGACCCAATCTGCGTGCCACGTGGTCAGACATGGTCTTATCAATGTCTCAGGTTTACGATCAAGCATGCATTGGCTCACCGCGGAAAACGTAGCAAATCCCAAATTCTGGAAATCATTCCTTACCCCCCATAAACCGTTAATCTGGGCGGGACGTCCGTGTTTACCATCTCCGAAGTCACCAGCCCATTTCCCACCAGTGGCCGTAGCCGCCCAGTGGAAAGCTGTACGCTCCCAATCCGTCTCAACCACGAATATGCTTCTTGGGCGGAAACCATGGAACTCAATGTCGGGAAGACGCGAGATTATCGGCGCCCCCTGGCAACAGAGAAACCGTCACTGAACCAGAGCCATTAATGATGTGCCGTCTGGGATGACATATGCCGGCTTTCCTTCTGGCATCAGAAAATTTTGATCTGCGCTGAACACATCAAAGTCCTGTACCACTGACAATGCCAGTGTCGGCGAACGCTGTCACATGCTAAGACAGTGTTCATGCATGTAGCCAGGTGATGGTACGGGGCCAACACCATGCTTTCATGTTTGCAACTCTTTTCAACATCCTCCGTTGCTTGGCCGCCTTTGTCTGCGCCACCGCAGGACATTGCTGAAAGCCATTACCTGCTGACCCAGATAACAGTCAGCAACCATTTCCGCTTCTATGGGTATGCAGGTAACAGCCCGACGCGCCATCTTCAACTGGTTATTCTAATTGCAAAATCCCGGTGCGACTACATCTACCCGCTCCAGCTTCAGCGGCGCGATCCTGAAAACTCTACAGCTCCCCCGAGAGTACATCCTTGCAGCGTGTCACGTGAGAACGATTGGCGACCGTCGGAGCCGCAAGCGCGCACATACACGCATGGCACTCCGGTCTCCTCATCGCCCCAGCCGCCTCCCCGCTGAACACGCCGGAAACGGTACATCGGTCGCCGCGCGCATGCTGATGCCGCCCCAGCAGCGGCGGCGGCGGCGGCGGAGGCGCCCGGCTGGCCCCGGTCAGAATCTGGGGCCGCAAGGTCGCCGCCGCGTCAAAAGGTCATCGACTCGGCAGCGTGCCATTCATCTGGGGTGCGCGCAGGCGCCCGCCGCGTTGGCCCCGCATATTTTACAGCGAACCGGTTGGCGGCGGGCGCGGGCAGATCAGTGACCTCTGACACGGCTTTGACGTCTGGCCGGTGGGCGGCTCAGGCCGAGCAGGCACGAAGCGGCGGGGGGGGGGGGGGGGCTCGCGGAATTCAGGCCAGTGTTCAGGGTGGCCTCGGGGCATGGAGATGCCGGTCACGAGTGCCTTGTTCTTTGGTAGGTCTGAGCTGCACACATGTCTTTCAGCTATAGTCCCCGAACGCGGACTTTTTACAGTATATCAATATTCCAGATCGATGCATACAGACGATACTGACAATCTATATCCCATACCAATAAGCAGTTCCAGACGTACTCAGATGCGGGTGCATTGTTAACTTGGAGCGCTGTTGGGTTATCAGAAGCTTTGCTCGAGTTTCATGATCAGATTCGTTGGAAGCACCTAGCCTTATACATGGTGGGAAGCAGGTCAAAGGAGGACACTGCCCCTCTGTATCGACACACAAGGTTGAATATCTATTCAGCTCATTTGCATAATGTAGTCAGTCAGCGCGGACGCGAACCTGTCTGCACAACAGCATCGTCGTCCAAGCACCAAGAAGGAGCCATCTGGTAAAACATGTGTGCATTACCTTCCATCTAAGCGATGCTGGACTGTTGGAAAGATTAGGTTCGGTCAAGCGTGAATGACATAAGTTGTTCACAGACTAGCAGTGCTGAGAACCGTCGATTACACCTATTCAATACGTGTTTATTACCAAAACATCGGGCTTTGCTCCTTTCAGTCGGATACATGTTGCTCTGCATCTATAACACGTGTGCGTGAGGGCAACTTGGCTTGGGGCGAATCTAGCGCGGATCACAACTCCGACACCAGCCACTGAACACCACAAGGGTTTTGAATAGAGCTGTTCGGTATACGCGCATGCTTTTCACTGTATGCTAGCCTCAAGCGAGCAGGGGACTTGTAAAAACATTGCCTAAC